CCCCCCTCCCCCCCCCGATGGAGATGACTCACAGGGTGCATGTCATTCTCTCTCCAAGCATGTGGTCAGTGAGTGGGATGGGCAGAGAAGTGCCCCTCACTTGTTAAAGCTGTTTTCTCTTGGGGGCTCAGGGGGCACAGATGGGTGAAGAGCTTGCAGCTTAGTCAGTGCTTTAGTACTTATTCAACATGAAGACGAATTTCATCCTTGGTCTTTCTTCACTTAGAAGTGGGCACGCTGGCCTGTTTTTCACTTGTTATTTTACCAAGTCTTTCCATTGCACGAAGTACCTTACATGCTTTACCTTATATAATCCTTATAATAACCTTATTCCGAAGGTACTATTATTATTATTCCCATTTTATAGATGAGGAAACTAAAGGTTAGAGAGGTTAGAAAAAAGTTGCCCATAGTGAAATTATATAGTGAGTATTTAAGCCAAAATTCCTGACTCCAGAGCTCAAACCCTTAACTGTTCTACTGAAACCAGCTGTGAAACCTTTCACGTTCCTCTTTGATGGGCCGTCGCTCATTCACTCACTCACTCGACCACATTTTACTGAGCACGCCTCCTGCCCGGCTCTGTGCCAGGCTGTGTGGTGGTAGAGATTCCACAGAGAGGCCTATGACAAGGAGCTCGTGTGCGTGTGCTCTTGTGGGTCATTCTTCCTGCCTGTGTGTGTAACCATCTCGGGAAACTAATGCAAAGGTGAGGGCCTTGGGATACCTCCCAGTAACTCAGTTCACTGTGTTAAACTTTTTAACAGGCTAAAAGAGATGCTAAGCGAATGCCTGCAAAAGAAGTCACCATTAACGTGACAGAGAGCATCCGACAGGTGGACAGAAGTCGAAGAATCGCAAAGAACTGCGTCAACTAGAAGGGCAGCTGGACTTGCTGGCGCCCTTGCATGCTGGATCCCCCAAGGAGCCCTGACGACGTGGGCGCCCTGTGCTGACCGTGAGCGCCGCTGAGGGCCTCGAGGGACCGTCTCACCCGGCAGCTGCCAGCTGCCTGAGCTGCTGGGACGCTCCCAGCCTCCTGTTTTTGACGTAAATGCATTGGCATAGTACTCACACGTGGTAATAAAGTGCACATGAGCCGTTCGGCTTGCTGTTGGCAATGTCTGCACTTAGGCCTGGCTTAGAAGGCCGGAGTGAAGGCCACGGGCCGGTTCATGAAGCAGGGAAAGCCGAAGGGTGGGCCGGGAGCGAGAGAGTCACTGTCAGCTCGACGCCGTCCTGGCCGCGGTCATGGGCGCCGCTTCAGGCAGGCTTGCTCTTTGAGTCTTTCTTTTTGGATGCCACCATCACAGAGCTTACCGTGTTCCATTAAAAGTTGGCTCGCACCCAGCTTGAAGCCCAGATATACGAGAAGTCAAGAAACAGGACGACAACTTGTTCTGTTTCCTGAGCTCAGACCAACCCCACCAAAACCCGTGGCATGTCTTAGGGAGGCCTCTAGGATGCAGTCACATTTCTCGTCTGCCTTCAGTGTCATCCCCCCCACGCCTTTGACCCACAATATCACAGTCACGGTTGGTACATCCAGCCGAGGACTCCCTGAGGGCTCAGCCAGACGCTGCATTTTTCATAGCTTCCCAGTTCCCTTCGCTTGTGTTCTCGAGTGTGTTCTCTCTCACTCAGATAATTTGCAATTGGCGTTCAAAGAGCGGGAGGTGATCCAGACACGTTGCTGCCCACGCGGCTCCCCTGCCCGCTCTGCGCGCAGCCCCGGGACTGTGCCCTGCCGTCTGCAAAGGAACCGCTTTAGAGTCAGTACCTGGCGGACGTGCGTTCGCATTGACATTGGATTGACATACACACGTTAGAAATCAGGTAGCTGATGCAGCAAAAAAAAGGTTTTTATAGGAATGACGTTTTCTAGCATTTCTTTAAACGTGGTAAGGTGGAAATATTTTCCTCCAAAGTCATGTAGCAGGGGCTTGGGAAAGATAGGACTATAGTTGTACCAAATGATACCAATAAACGCCACGTGTAGCAGAAGCAGGGAGCCTGATGGTGTGTGCTTAGGTAACAGCCTGGAGAATTGACATCGGCTGGTTACAATCCGATTTTCAGTCTCCTTTCCTGCCAACTGTTATTCCTCAAATACAAGTGGGCAGCCTCCCTCCCTCCCTCCCTTCAGTAGACTGTATATTTATTCATTAAACATTAAATGCCAATCCTGTGTCAGGCACCATGCAAATGCCGAGAGAGCTGGAGTCTGGCCAGTCACCACTGTGTCCTGAATCAGACAGTGGACTTAACAGCCAGGAAACTGACTGAGACCCTGAGGTCCAGTGTGCTGTGAATTGCCCTGCGGTGGAATCTCACTTTTATATTCAGAACAGGTTTCTGTCTTAAACTCTGGGTGTCCTCCCGATCCCTCTACAAGACTTTGACCACACATGAAACTACAGTTTCCCCAAACCTCTATCATTTTCTGATTCTTCGAGAAAGGGCTTTTCGGCAACTTCATGTTTTGAAATTTTAAATAATAGTAATAATAATAAAAGCAAGACCTGTGACTCCTACGTCCCCACTGGCATTACTCAGCAGGAGCCCCCAACTGCCACCGGTTGGCGCTGCTCCTGCAGGTTTAAGGGCTCACTCTCCCAGGGCACGCGCACCGTGTTTTTGTGTAGGGGGTTCCTTCGCTAGTCACTGCTGTGGGCCACAGGCTAAGCCTAGTTTCTCTTTACAAGCTTGTTTTTCCTCACTTGGCTGCTACATGTTGTTTGGGATTTATCAACTTGAGAGGGTGTCTCTGTTTTATATAGAAACAGTTTCTCACTTCTCGGGGAGAAGGGAGTAAAGGATATACATGATCTTGCCCCCTTGCAGAACAGTCTGGATTTCACCAAGACAGTGATCAGAAGTTAAACAATATTACTGGAAGTTTATCTGACTTTTTTTTTTTAATGTGTATGTGATATAGGAACTGATTCTTACTTTCCTATTAGTATAACACTTTCTATTGCAAAGTTTGTGTCAATAAAGTCATCAATTTCAAACCAATGGTCAGGTACAAGGAATCTTTACTGGGACCTTAAATTTGTATGTAGAGCTGTTTAAACTTTTTCCACTTTTAAGCAAAGACCTTTCACATAAGTGATCCCTGAGAATCCTCCAAAAAGCCCTGTGAAGTAGGTAAGGAGACCACTGTTAGCGCCAAGTTAGTTATAAGAGCATTTACGGTCTACTCAACCGGTAAGAGATGGAGCAGCGATTCAAATGAGGGGAGCTGGTCTGCAAACCCACTACTTTTTCCACCACTTAGCATGGTGCCTTTCCTGGCAAGAAGGGCGAGCCTGGCTGGGAGACTCAACACTGAGCCCAAGTCTAAGAGGGTGGTGGCAGTAACTACAGAGGGCTAGTGAGCTCTTGGGGGGTTTGTGTCTGGCTCAGGCTCCCTTACCCACCCCCCGGGGGATGCCTCTGACCTATTGTAACTGGGCACCCTTGGTGAAGGTCAGGAAGAAGAGAATTGTGCACCAAAGGAGATTGAACTTGCACCCCTCAGAATCGCTGCTAAGACCCAAAGGTGGAAGCCACGGCAGCCAGGGACCTCCCCATTCTGCCAATGCCCCAGGCACTCCTTGGGTGCGCAGGTGAAGGACTATGTTCTCTCCCTTTTCCTGCTGCCCACCCCCACAGTCCTCCCCCTGACCCCCTAGGCTCCCCGACACGCTTGTTTGCCCATCTGTCTAAGCCCTGCACCTGTTTCTGACCTTCACTAGCTGCACTCACTGGCTGCCTGCGTGCTGCAGAAATGAATTCCATCTGAATTTGCTCCTGCAAGCAGGGTTCATAAAACTGTCAGCTCTGCTACACCAGATGGCAGACATGCTTTATTTGGCTGTCATGGTGTTAAACTGGAGAAATTTACAGAAAAAGCCTGCTCTGGCGGAGACTCCTGGGCTAGAACTGCAATACCCATTCGCCCTGTCTTCCCCAGCAGGGCACATGCCCACTTAAAATAAAGATCACACTTCTCAGCTTCCTGTGCAGCTGGGAGTAGCTGCATGATTGAGTTCTGGCCCATGAAATGAAATGAGTGAGGCCTGAAAGCTTCCAGAAGGGCTTCTTATAAAAGCATGGCCAAGGCCCTGGCCAGTTTGCCTCAATGGTTGAAGCATTGAGGGCATATGTCTCGGTTGAGGGTTTGCTCCCCGGATTTTTTTAACCCAGCAAAAAGCTAAGTCTGGGCATTTGCTGCACAGCGAGCTTTGCAGTTTTAGCTCCTTTGCCAGGCCTTCTCCAGGGGGAGCTCCTCTTGAAAAGGAAAAGGGTGAGCTTTGCCCTTTCTGATCCAAATAGCCCTCTTCATGACATCGCCACGTGCCAGGGGATAGCCGAAAAGTTTTGTTTGCCTGTTTAATTGTACTTCATTATCCAGAGGGTATGTCTTTCTGTTCTATAGATGAATCAACCATAGGGTGGCCTGTGGAACAGGAGGTGGCAGCCAGCCAGCCAGGAAAAGAGACCGGGCTCTGGGTGGAGGAGACTAATCCTAACCTGGCATCTGACAGCTGTGTGCCCTGGGGCAAGCAGAGGAGCCTCTCTGAGGCTCACTTCCTGTCTGTGGAAATAACAGCATCTTTTTGAGTGTATTGTGAGGATTAAGCGAGAGAACAATGTAGATGACATGGTGTCTGCCACATAATAATCATGGCCCTGAGCCAGGTACAGAGCTAGGTGCTTCACACATATTCCCTCTAATCAATTAAATCCGCCAGGTGAGCCTTTTCAGGCCCAGTTTGCAGATGAGAAAACTGAGAATTACAGGCCCAAGACCATGCTGCTACTAAATGGCAGAGCGGGGATTTGGACCCATGTCTGCCTGTTTATAGCAACCCATGCTCTGTCCACTGCACCAGGAGTAAGTGCTCAATAAATGTTGATTTCCTTCCTGTCACAACGGATTTCATGGCCCTTTTTGTAGCGTCAGTGTCTCAGCACCTCCAAGTTGTCAGTGCTAATGCTAGGATCAATGATAGCATCCTGGATACAAATCTGCGAAAGTTCGCCTTTTTTCTTTTAACTTGATTTTCTTAACAGCAACAAAGGCAGTGGCTGTCTTTTGATTTGTGCCACAATATTAAAATTCTTTTGAAGGTAATACTGATTAACTTTTGAGTCTAACATGTATTACAAACCTAAGTATTATATATCTTAGCAATAGTAATCTAAGTGATTAAATAGTGATGACTGTGGTAACCACTCCTCCCTCCGTTCCAGAACAGGAGAATGAAGGCCCGGGCTAGCTGGGTCCCCGAGGAGAAAGGACAGTGCAGGAGCAGCACACGTTGTGCACGGTGACCCCTTACCCACTGCTGTGGGAAGCAACAGCCTGGAAAAGAATTGTTTTCTAGTTAAAAAACAGGGAGCAGCTGGAAATAATTATGATTGCTTAGCACCGTGGTTTGCAATATGCCGGCACATGGGAATCACCTGGGGAGCTTTCACAGCTATTCATGCTCGGGTCCCAGCCCAGAGATTCTGGCTCAGTTGGTCTGGGCTGCAATCTGGACATCAAGATGTGTCAGACTCCTCAGGGGGCCTAATGTGCAGCCGGGCTGAGCACCACTGGCTCAGCCGACCACACAGTATCTCTAGGATGGGATCTTAAATCAGATCCCCTGGGTTCGAATCTGCTTCACCGCTTATTAGCTTTGTGATCTTGGCCAGTTCATTTAACCTTGTCATGCTCCTCTTTGCTAATGGTATCTCCTAGGAGCCGGAGCATTTAGTAAGGATATCTATGCAAAGCACTTAGCACAGTGCCCAGCATCTGAAGATACACACGAGATTGTTTATTATTGTTGAACTGTGACCCAGCCCTGAAATGTTCAGGACACAGGCAAGGCCTGGCATATAAGATTCAGCTCTTCAGGGTAAATGTACCAGAGAGCTGGCATCCTATTTAAGTAGCGTTTCTTCTCACGCACCCCAAATGTACCTTTTTCAAGGTTAGCACTTCTTACCTGCCTGTGGGATCTGATCCTGTGGTATCAGACCCTGGCCAGTGTGGCTCAGTGGTAAGAGCATTGGCCAGCACACCAAAGGGTCATGGGTTCGATTCCCTGTCAAGGGTGTGTCTCTGAGTTGCAGGTTTGATCCCTGGGCCAAAGTTGGGGCATGTGTGAGAGGCAACGAATTGATGTCTCTCCCATCGATGTTTCTCTCTCTCTCTGACTCCTCTCTCCCTTCCACTCTATCTAAAATCAATGGAAAAATATCCTCGGGTAAGGGTTAACGACAAGAACAAAAGAAGAGTTGTTGCCTACCCTGGGTAAGGTCATACAATGAGAAGTTCTTAACCAGTTTTAAACCCAGGATTCTGTGATATCAACTGGCCTGTGATCTCAACCTTCCAGGCAAGAATTGGCGACCTGAGGGCCCGCGATCACCTGCACTTTGCACAGGTTTCCAGGAACTTGAACTGTTGATGTGGAACTGTGGGAACCTGCTTCTTGGCCGGAAGACCTAGACACCAAAGGAAGCAGAGATACTTGGCCTGGAGACATAAGACCTAGAGAAATCATTCAACCAGGAAGGAGAAGATATTCCAGCTGACAGCTCAGGAAAGGACCATGTTGAAGCCTGAACGCAGTGTCCTCCCTGACGTCCTGCCTCTTTGGAAGTACCTGGGCTCCCACAAAAGAGTTGGGGCCTGTTCCTGGTCTACGTTTTTATTCACTAACCTCAGCTTCCATCCAGCTCTTGGAACAAGAAAATGCAAGGACACTGTAAGCCCAGGATGACGCAATTCGGAGTCTCATTAAGAGCATCACGCTGTGATTTGAAAGAACTTAGAGGGAAAAAAAGCAAAACATTCTTGAGACTTTATGGAAAGATTATGAAGATAGATTTCTGGAAATAAAATGTAAGAATTCCTAAAACAGATGTTTTCGCCATAAAATAGAAACAAATTATACGATGTGAAAATGTTTTCTCATTCGTGTATAAAAATGTGAGGGGGTAAAGAGCAGACTGTATTGTTCTGTCTTTCCCCAAAGGCCTCTAAATTCCACTAAAGGCATGTTTTCCATGCCAGGGAGGGGGGACAAGTGGCTGGACTAGCTGGGTATCATGATAACTATGTCCAGTGACAGATTCTGAGCTCACATGGAAAATAGTGAGGACCCTGCCTAACACTGCAGCTGGTACGAAGATCAGTCTGCAAACTTAGGCATTCAAGAAATGTAACAGGTTTTTTCAAGTTCTGGTTTTGATTACAGTCGCGACTTCATTGGCCCAGGTGAAAGAAATGTAATCTCAGCCTATTTAGGGCTCCCACCTTTCCTGAGCTGTAGCTGCGTACCGGGAGCGCCAAAATGCTGGGCGGGGAGTGGGAGAGGGAGCGTGGGGGCTTCGGGCTGCACGATTTTTCATTCCAGCCTCCAAGGTCTCCTCTTACCCTGTGGCTCTCTTACGTTCTCTTGGGTGCCCAGGAGACATTCTGTGGCACCTAAGCCCTGCTGGGCGCAGGAAAGCACCTCTGGGCTGCTGAGACCCTCTGTGCCTCGGGGCAGCTTGGGGCCCGTGAGCTGCTCCCATTGCTCCGGGCTGGGCTCGCATCGGTGGGCTGCCCTGGCCCCCAGCCCACACAGGCCATGCTGCCCTTTCTCCACTGTCTGCCCTCCCTCGGGGGGCTCGCCTGGGAAAGAACCTCTCCTCTCCTCACTGTCTCACTTCAATCCCACAGATGTCTTGGGGTTCTCTTGACTCCCTCTCTCTCAAGACCACACCTTTAAAATTCCAAAGCCTGGTGGAGGGGGGGGGGTATTGGAAACTACTGGGGGAAAGACTAGGTAGATCTGTCCCCCAAAAGGACTCGGTCTTCTGTTTCGAGCCTAAATGACCCCTCTTCTCCAGGGGGGAAAAAGGGGGACATCTATAACAATTCCAACAATGAGGATAAGTTTAAGACAACCTCTTCTAAACACAAAAGCTTTTTTTTAATTTCAAAGATGTATTTCAAAGTATATGTTAATAGCCCAACTTATTTAGCT